TGTGCCAACAAACTGGACAACCTGGAAGAAATGGACAAAGTCCCAAGCACCCACACAAAACAGGAAGAAATAGCAAACGTGAACAGACCCATAACCAGCGAAGAAATTGAATCAGTTATCAAAAATCGCCCAACAAATAAGAGTCCAGGACCAGATGGCTTCCCTGGGGAATTCTACCAGACATTTAAAGCAGAGATAATAACGATCCTTCTCAAGCTGTTCCAAAAAACAGGGAAGGAAAACTTCTAGACTCATTCTATGAATCCAGCATTACTTTGATTCCCAAACCAGACAGAGACCCAGCAAAAAAAGAGAACTACAGGCCAATATCGAGTTATGTCCTCTCTCCCCCTGCAAAAGTGGCTCCCTGCCCGCCGCAGGCTTTTCTCTCCCCAAGTTCACTTCTCCACACCAGGTGCCTGCTGAATTCTGTGGTTCAGGATGTGCAGATTGTTGTGTTAATCCTCCAATCAGTTTTCTAGGTGTGTAGGATGGTTTAGTGTTGGTCTGGCTGTATTTCATGGACACGAGACACAAAAAAAACTTCCATGCTGTTCCGCCATCTTGGATCCTCCGATCATGATTGCTGTTTCCACATGTCTGCCCCAAGTGTTTGCCTGTTTTCCCTCCAGGAGTTGGGCCTTTATGCCAGCCAAGTCTGTCAACGTTTAAAACTCCAAACTATAATTCCAGCTGATTGGAAGGACTCAGCACTTTGAATACGTCATACCATGACTTCTGGCCTGCAAAGGTTCTGCTGAAAAAAATCATAGTGCTTGTTGGAGGAGGTCATTAAGAGGACAGGACTATTGGTTGACCTGTGAGCTACAATTGGACATTTAGAGACTCCTCACCCTTTTTGTCTTTGGAAAGTACATTCTACACCAATCCTATGGTGGGAGCTAGTTTAAGGGCCATAGCTTTGGAGAATAAAGTGTATTTGAGGTCATCTGGATGGTGTGCATGACTGAGCCCAGTCATGTGCTATGTAAACTTTAAGATTTTGGTGAGAGGATCCAGAGATCTACTCATCTACTCCTCTTGCAGCCAATCTAACTAAACTTTGCATGTGCTACTGCTTATTAAAACTTCCACCTACCAAAAAACCAAAAAACAAAACAAAACAAAAAAAAAACAAAAAAAACCCACCTAGTGTCTTCTATTACTGATACTCTTGAATAGCTTTTAATTTTCTAAAAATAGTCATTTTATGAGTCAAGGAGTATCAAATCAGTGTTGGCTGGGCCACCCAAGGATGAAGAGATGGGCTGGAAGCCCTGCGCATTAGGAGAGGGATGTGGGTGCTGGCATGCAGATGACCATATAGAATGTGTCTCTCAGGAGGCAGCGTGGTGGATTTTGAAGGTGAAACTTTGAGTTTATCATGTTTGAATTTGAGGGACAGGGAGTGATGGCTCATCGCTCGTTGCCCCCTCATCTAACCCCATGGAAATGGGGGTCTCAAAGGAACACCTCCTATCCAAGGAGCTGGAGCTGAGTTGGTTGATGCTGGACACGCCTATTTGGTTCCTGCATATGCCCACCCACAGGCACCAGCCTCCTCACCATCTCTGCTCTGTTGGGGCATAGCCAGGTTTTTCTTACACACAAGTGCCAGTCTCCCCTCTCCACTTCCTGCTCTGGAAGTGGGGAGGGAAGCAGTCATAAAGGAGACGGCTGGTTGCTCTTCTGGGTTTGAGTTGTATTTGGCTATAAAACAATCTTGTTAGAAAAAGTAAGTGGGGAGGAGGGGAACAGGAGGAGAGAGGAAGGCCTCTTCCCTCTCTCACATTGAGACACATCTCAGTTGGTCTCTAATCTTGTTTATAGGGATTCTGTTGGTTGAATGCCTAGAAAAGGAGGTGGGATGGCCTTCAGATTGTACCAGCTTAGCTAGCATTGCTGACCAACTGTCGCAGGCTCTGAAAATAAAAACAATCCTGAACCCATGCTCTCTACGTAGTTCTTGATGGATTTAAAGAGAATTGCGATTCCCTTCAAGGTTCTGGGACCATACTTGACTAAAACCAGTGGGGGCGGGGGTGGGGGGGAGCAGCCATATTTCCTCAAGAGGCCAAAGGACTCCCATGTGCCATGATTTCAGAGATGAATGATCTCTAGTTGGCTACCCTGACTCCAAAAACTTGTCATTCAGATTGATTTGCAAGATGAAAGGCACAGCACATACAAAGCTTGCCTGAACCACTAACCTTTCTTTCCAAGATCTGTGAACTCAAACGGATGAAGCAACAGTGCAAAGGAAGGATGCTAAAGACAGGAGTTTCAGTTGTGCTCTGAAGGAGAGGATACTGCAGAAGGAAGTAGGACAGGTGTTGGCAAGTCATGGGCCCACACAACCACCAGAGAGACTTGGAGGTGTGATTGATGCTGGGGGCTACTGGCCAGACTGGATGGCAGCAGGAGCAAAAGTCTATTAATAAAGCAGAGTACACTCTGCATGGAAAATAACTTCTGTTCCTTTTACGTATACTTCAGATCTTCCCTAAACATGTGGTAAATGCTAAAACCTAAAAGATTTACCCTTGGTCCCACCTCCAAGTTAAGCTTCATTTAGACCTTGAATCCCTTCTTTTGCAGCTATAATAGACATTATTCCAGACATTTTTTAGAATTGTAAGACCATGCACGAAGAAAGGAAGTCTCCTATAATCCTGATCTCCAGTATTAGCCTGTTTATGTCAGATGAGAGTGGCGCCTGGCTGGCTCAGTGGAGCATGCAACTCTTCCCTGCCCCCCCCCCCCCCATGTTTATTTTTGAGAGAGACAGAGCACAAGTAGGGGAGAAGCAGAAAGAGATGGAGACACAGGATCCAGGCTCTGAGCTATCAGCAAAGAGCCCAAAGCAGGACTCAAACTCATGAGTTGTGAGATCATGGCTTCAGCCAAAGTCAGACGCCCAACTGACAGCCACCCAAGCGCCCTTGGAGCGCTCTTAATCTCGCTCCAGATTAAGATTGCAACTCTTAATCTCGAGGTTAAAAATTCAAGCCCCAGCTTGGGTGTAGCAATTATTTGAAAATAAAATGGGACGCCTGGGTGGCTCAGTAGGTTAAGCATCCAACTCTGTTTTGGCTCAGGTCATGATCTCATGGTTCATGAGATTGAGCCCCAAATCCGGCCCCTGGCTGACAGTGCAGTGTGTTTAGGATTGTTTTCTTCTCTCTCTGCCCCCTCCCCGCGCTCTCTCTCACATTCTCTCTCAAAATAAGTAAACTTAAAAAAAAAAAAGGGATGGCTATAGTCTAATGTATCCCATATTACAGTCCCTTCCCAAAGACAACAGTCCATATTCCTAGTGAGAAGATACAAAAGTTTTGATTAATTAGACTATGTAAACTTTAGGTTTTCAGTGGAAATAGCTGATCACTACTTGTAATGAGTATTATCTGTACATATTTAAAAGCACATGGAAGGGGTGCCTGGCTGGCTCCAACAGACCACATGACTTGATCTCAAGGTCACGAGTGTGAGCCACATGTTGGGTGTAGAGATTAATTAAAAAAAAAATAAAATTTAAAGCACATATAGGGGTGCCTGGGTGGCTCAGTCTGTTATGTATTCAACTCTTGAAACTGCTCAGGTTGTAATCTTGAGGTCGTGGGATTGAGTCCATGGGCTCTGTGCAAAGATATTCTCCTGCCCGCCCTCAAAAAAT